CCAGAGAGACAGAGAGACAGAAAGCCAGAAATCACCCCACAGGGGGGATGGCCACGCCGCAATCCCTTCTCCTCTGTTCTCCTCTCGGGATCTTGGGCATGCATGCACATGCGCCCAGCGTGAGTTTTAAGCCACCGGGTCCAGGATGCAAACTGCGGCTGACTACATGGGAGTCCAGCGACATAGCCATTACACTAACTAAATTTTTTAATCTAGAAAATTTCCTTGTAAGAGTGGGTGGCTGGCAGGTGGTGTGGTGCTTAAGGTGCCGGACTCTCACATGGCTGGCGATGGTTCAAGTTCTGGGCCTAGTAGCTTGCTTTCTTACTTTATCTTTTTCTCTATCTCTGGTCAAATAAAAAAATGATAATAAAATGAAATAAACAGTTCTTTAAAAAATAAAAAAGACTGGGTGATAACTTATATACCTGGCATGTTATACAAGCTGGGAAATAAGGTCCTCTTTTTCAGAGGAAACTGAAAAATTGAAGCCCAGAGAGAGACTGTGATTTGGGCTATGGTCCCAGAGAGCACAGAAATATGGTTGGCTTTTCCTTTTGCTGAGCATCAGGGCCTCATGGGAGAGAAGGGACGGGATGGCATGGATGCTGACTGAGATGTTGTTGATGGAGTAGGGTTTAGCCTTCCAGGAGGCTGGGGTTCTGGCACCTGCTCTGGGAGTAAGATGGATGAAGCATGGTGTGTCTCCTGGTTTCAACCTGGGGAGGCATTGTACATAGGGCCTGAAGTCCCCTTCTCCCCTGCCCTGTACCCACCGCAGCATGGAACCTCCTCCTCAGTGGAGGATGTCTGCAGGTCATCTGCCAGCGCCTTCTTCTTTGAGAAGCTGATAATGCGAGTGATCTTGCGGCCAGCAGCCCTGCTCATTGAGCCCTTCAGCTCTGCCAGGCTGCTCTTCTTCCCTTTGCCTGTTGCCATAGAGAAGGGTCAGGGGAGGGGAGGGAGTCCCAAGTCCCAGTTCACCCATCCCTGGCCATCCTTGGTGGCTCTCTCAGCCTGCACACAGAGACCAGCCTGCAGCTCCAGGTATGACAGGCTGGGTGTCATTGCCCAGATCTTAAACATGCTAAGACCTGCTGTGCCACTGTGTGCTCATAGGCAAGCCTCCTCCCAAATCTAGCATTCTGTCGTCAGAGTCCCCAGAGCCTCCTACCGTGTTCACAGGCCTCCCGGCGGCCAAGGGTGGAACAGCTGTCACTCATGCCCAGGCTGTCAGAGTCTGATGTCTGTTTCTCTTGGGACAGCCTCTGGGGAAAGACACAGAGAGCCCCACATCGGATAGCACACTCCAAAGTACCCTTTACTGATTCAGTATCTCCCCAACTCCCCAAGAACATGATAATTAGCTAACAAATACTTGTCAGCAACTACCACGTGGCTGAACCATACAGGTACTGGGATGACATCAGTGACATGGTGTGTCTTCCAGCTACTCGGTCTGTTGGAGAGCAAGGCTGTTCATTGTAACACACGGAGACAAATGCCCAGTTTGGACTGTACTTGGCAAGTATTAGGAAGTCAGAAAGGAATTTAAGTGGGATACTAGTATAAGCCTCCTTGGTTTAGAAGTTCCCTCCATGGAATTGTGAGGTAGACATGAGGGGCAAGACTGGAAGCAAAGAGCCATCTGAGAGAATGCCATCCTGGCCAAGACAAGACTCAGGAGGGGATGAGTCCTGGGGATAGAGAAAAAATAGATGATGAACTGGAAACATAAAACAGTTACAACAGGACCTGGTGACCAAGAGGAGTCCATTATGGTCCTAGCTTGGAGGAGAATATGGTAAAGCCACAGACACACACACACACACACACACTAACAACTTCATTGTCAGCCAGCATTATTTTTACTTACTATACTAACTCTGGATCAATCATTCATTCTTTTGTTCATATAAAGTCAATTATGTGCCTTCTGGCTGCCTTGGGAGGTGGAGTGCAGTAGCCAGGTTGGCCTTGGAATAATGAAGACTCTCCCACCACTTACGAGCTATGGGGATGTGGGAAAACACTTTGGTCTTCCCAGGGCTTGGTTTTCTCACCTGCAGTACAGCCTCTTGAGAGGGCAGCTGGGAGGCACCAGGGAGCCAGGTGAATGGATGAGGTAGTAGCTATTGCAGCCCTCACACCTGAGTGGTGTGTCCCATCTCACTCCAGGAGCTAAATGATGCCAGCTAGTCTTGGGACAGGGTTGAAATGGCACCCACGTTTGGGGCCCTTAAATGTTTTTTTTTTTTTTTTTTTTTTTTTTGGAGAGTTTTTTGCTATAAGTCACGTGTGCTCGCCAGAGAGACAGAGAGACAGAAAGCGAGAAATCACCCCACAGGGGGGATGGCCACGCCGCAATCCCTTCTCCTCTGTTCTCCTCTCGGGATCTTGGGCATGCATGCACATGCGCCCAGCGTGAGTTTTAAGCCACCGGGTCCAGGATGCAAACTGCGGCTGACTACATGGGAGTCCAGCGACATAGCCATTACACTAACTAAATTTTTTAATCTAGAAAATTTCCTTGTAAGAGTGGGTGGCTGGCAGGTGGTGTGGTGCTTAAGGTGCCGGACTCTCACATGGCTGGCGATGGTTCAAGTTCTGGGCCTAGTAGCTTGCTTTCTTACTTTATCTTTTTCTCTATCTCTGGTCAAATAAAAAAATGATAATAAAATGAAATAAACAGTTCTTTAAAAAATAAAAAAGACTGGGTGATAACTTATATACCTGGCATGTTATACAAGCTGGGAAATAAGGTCCTCTTTTTCAGAGGAAACTGAAAAATTGAAGCCCAGAGAGAGACTGTGATTTGGGCTATGGTCCCAGAGAGCACAGAAATATGGTTGGCTTTTCCTTTTGCTGAGCATCAGGGCCTCATGGGAGAGAAGGGACGGGATGGCATGGATGCTGACTGAGATGTTGTTGATGGAGTAGGGTTTAGCCTTCCAGGAGGCTGGGGTTCTGGCACCTGCTCTGGGAGTAAGATGGATGAAGCATGGTGTGTCTCCTGGTTTCAACCTGGGGAGGCATTGTACATAGGGCCTGAAGTCCCCTTCTCCCCTGCCCTGTACCCACCGCAGCATGGAACCTCCTCCTCAGTGGAGGATGTCTGCAGGTCATCTGCCAGCGCCTTCTTCTTTGAGAAGCTGATAATGCGAGTGATCTTGCGGCCAGCAGCCCTGCTCATTGAGCCCTTCAGCTCTGCCAGGCTGCTCTTCTTCCCTTTGCCTGTTGCCATAGAGAAGGGTCAGGGGAGGGGAGGGAGTCCCAAGTCCCAGTTCACCCATCCCTGGCCATCCTTGGTGGCTCTCTCAGCCTGCACACAGAGACCAGCCTGCAGCTCCAGGTATGACAGGCTGGGTGTCATTGCCCAGATCTTAAACATGCTAAGACCTGCTGTGCCACTGTGTGCTCATAGGCAAGCCTCCTCCCAAATCTAGCATTCTGTCGTCAGAGTCCCCAGAGCCTCCTACCGTGTTCACAGGCCTCCCGGCGGCCAAGGGTGGAACAGCTGTCACTCATGCCCAGGCTGTCAGAGTCTGATGTCTGTTTCTCTTGGGACAGCCTCTGGGGAAAGACACAGAGAGCCCCACATCGGATAGCACACTCCAAAGTACCCTTTACTGATTCAGTATCTCCCCAACTCCCCAAGAACATGATAATTAGCTAACAAATACTTGTCAGCAACTACCACGTGGCTGAACCATACAGGTACTGGGATGACATCAGTGACATGGTGTGTCTTCCAGCTACTCGGTCTGTTGGAGAGCAAGGCTGTTCATTGTAACACACGGAGACAAATGCCCAGTTTGGACTGTACTTGGCAAGTATTAGGAAGTCAGAAAGGAATTTAAGTGGGATACTAGTATAAGCCTCCTTGGTTTAGAAGTTCCCTCCATGGAATTGTGAGGTAGACATGAGGGGCAAGACTGGAAGCAAAGAGCCATCTGAGAGAATGCCATCCTGGCCAAGACAAGACTCAGGAGGGGATGAGTCCTGGGGATAGAGAAAAAATAGATGATGAACTGGAAACATAAAACAGTTACAACAGGACCTGGTGACCAAGAGGAGTCCATTATGGTCCTAGCTTGGAGGAGAATATGGTAAAGCCACAGACACACACACACACACACACACTAACAACTTCATTGTCAGCCAGCATTATTTTTACTTACTATACTAACTCTGGATCAATCATTCATTCTTTTGTTCATATAAAGTCAATTATGTGCCTTCTGGCTGCCTTGGGAGGTGGAGTGCAGTAGCCAGGTTGGCCTTGGAATAATGAAGACTCTCCCACCACTTACGAGCTATGGGGATGTGGGAAAACACTTTGGTCTTCCCAGGGCTTGGTTTTCTCACCTGCAGTACAGCCTCTTGAGAGGGCAGCTGGGAGGCACCAGGGAGCCAGGTGAATGGATGAGGTAGTAGCTATTGCAGCCCTCACACCTGAGTGGTGTGTCCCATCTCACTCCAGGAGCTAAATGATGCCAGCTAGTCTTGGGACAGGGTTGAAATGGCATCCACTCCTGTAAGCAGGTAGAATTCCGAGCCCAGAGGCCCCTAAATCTATCCTGCCAGGTTCCCCTAAACCAGGCTCAGGGATGCTCACAGTTCACATAGTGCAGGGGGGCAGGGAAGGTGGTGAGGCCATGGGCTTCCCTTAGTTCCGAAAGGGCTGTCAGAAATAGGAGGGGATTGTTCGAAGTGTAAAGGGCCACCTCCAAAAATTGTGAAACACCTTATGGTTTGATTTTGCTTTAACACCATGTAGAGGGGAGTTTCCATTAGGATAGGAAGCAAATACAAAGAAATGCTTGAGCTCTTCAAAATGAACTCAGTGATGGTGACACTGCAATCATAGGACTTCACAGATAGACCCACAAATACCATGCCTCCCACCCCTTTCCCCACCAGAAGTGCCACCCTAAACAATGTGGTTACTCTCCCCCTGCCTGCTCGGCCACAGGAGAGCTGCAAGCTGGCCTCTTCTTCCTCCCTACACATCCTTTGAACTGCACCATGGCATGTACCTGCAAGTGTGGACACAGACCACAGACACACACTGTTACCATGGTGGCTCTTCGAGGCCCCACTAATGCAAGGGCTAAGTGAGGACAGGGTTGACTTCTCTAACATCCACCTGGTCAGGAGAGCAGCCCCCTGCCCCTAGTGGCTCTCCTGCTTCTGCTGTCCCCTTCCCTTGGCCCACCCCTGCCCCAGTGAAAGCAGGCTAAGGCTTTAAGGCTCAGCATAGGCACCTGTCTTCCTTAACTCCTCACCCCTCTAGCCAGCAAGAGCTCCCTGCTGCCCACCCCACAGCTTCCCCAGGACACTCTTCTAGGTTCCTCTGAGCCAAGCCACACGGTTCTGGTCCATGTTTCTTCTTGCTCTGCTCTGTGTTCTTTCTGCTTGCAGTGCTGTTTTCCTATACTTCCTTGTTAAATTTTCACCCTCATCTGAAATGTCACTTCCTCAGGGAACCTTCCTGGCCCTCTGAGACAGGAGCAAGCCCCCTGACACATACTCTCAGGGTACCTGGGACTTCCCGTCTTAGCACTCATGCTGGGCACTTGTAAGTCTGCTTATTGGATGTGTGCCTGCTGTTCCACAGGCTGTGAGCACTGTGAGGGCAGGGGATGGACCTGGTTATATTCAGGATGGTGTCCCTGAGACTCGCACAGTGCCCAGTGTCCAGCAGGTACTCACTGGTACCACGAAGCATGTGCTCCAATGCTTGCCTTGAGAGGCGGATGGCAGAGTCATTATGAGTCAGGATGTGTGGCTTTAAATCCTAGCTGTTTCTTATTTGCTATGTAACACTGGACAGATCTTTCTGTGCCTCCTCTGGAAATGTACCCGCTTAAAGGGTTGTTTTAGAAATTAAATTGGGGGGACCAGCAGATGGCAAAATAGTTATGCCGCTGGACTACCATGTAATTGACCGTGGTTAGATCCTGGACCTGGTGACTTAATACTCATGCTCTTTTTGGGAGTACTTGTCTCTGTTTCTGTCTCTTGCTCATGGAAGAAATAAATAATAAACTTAAAGAAAAGAAATTAAGTTAGTTAACATACATAAGGCATTCAGAACAATCCTGAGCACACAGTCACAATCTATAAATGCTAGCCTTTATATCCTGCTGGCCCACATATGTGGGTTGTAAACTCCATCTACACTGTGGTAGAGGATTTGGTTCTGAGTTTGTTCACCCACAGCCCTTGGCGAAGCATAAGCACCAGGATAGATTTGCTGATGACTGACCAACTGACTAATGTCTGCTTCCCTCAGTTTCCAAGCAGATGTGTTTATTTGTTAATTGACAAATTTCTACTTGTTTCTCAAGGCGTAGTTCAAATGTGATGTCCTTCTGTCCCAATAGGGTGAGTCACCCCGTCCTCTGGCACTCATTTATTCATGCATCCTTGAGTTTGGTAGACATTTATTGAGTACCTACTGTTGTACCTGGCTCTGTGCCTGGCACACACAGTTTGTAGGACGCGATTGGCTTCACTACTAGTCTATGAGATCCCCCAGGGTTAAGCCTGTGTCAAGTGCCCACTGACTGACCTGGAGGAGACTACTGGGGACAGACGTACCTTGTCCTGGTCCAGCTTACACAGGAGGACTGGGGATCTGGGGACTTCCACTCCTTCAGCTCCCCCGATGGGCTTGCTCACCTCTCGGATGACCTGTGGAGAGGGCACATAGCTGTGAACTGGTGGGCAGCGAGGCTATGGGGTCTGTGTGGTCAGGGCCATCAGGCAGAGGCGTTGGGTTGCTGGGGAGAAGAGACGGACCCTAGCGCTACCTGCACATGTGTGGGCCTTCCAGGGTCTGCAAAGCTTTCTCCCCTATCTGTCCCATGGAGTGCAAAGATTCAGGGCTAGAACCAAGGGACTTGGTGTCTAGACCTGGCTTCTTTACTAATTAGTTGTGTGGTGGTGCAGAAGCTACTTCTGTCCTCAGTTTCTGCATCTGTAATATGGGAATAATACTAGTTTCCAGCTCAGATTGCCTGAGGACAATGAGATCGTGGTTGTGGAAGGTTGCGTGAACTGTACTGAGGGTCCTGCTTCTGTGACTATGTGGTCCTTTACGACAACCTGCAGGGCAGCTGGAGTTATCACTTCCACTTCAGGGACATGGAGCTGAGACTCAAAGGCAGTCACACACTCGATCAAAGCCAGTGGTGGCGAACATGCAGATCATGGAGCAGTGAGAGCCACCCTCTGTTGCTCACCGACCAGGTGACTTTGTGGGGATGATCCCGTTTTACCCCCGCAGCTGCATGTGATGCTCAGGTTACAGATTAGGATGATGTGGCTCAGAGGAGTGAAGCCATGCATTTGGCAGCAGCAGCACTAAGAACCAAGTGTAAGCTGTGGCCACCTGCTCTTCACCCCTGGGCTGACGGCCTCCCTACAATGAGATGGCAAGGCAGGGCTCTTAACTCTGAGTGTAGGTACCTTCTTCCAACCCATCTGGCCCCTGGAGGGCAGAGGCTCCCCCAGCAGGCAGGTTGTCTCCCTTCCTTCCCCTCCATAGACAAAGGCAGTAATGAGAAACACCAAACATTCCAGTAGGAGAGCTGGTTATCACAGGAAGGAAGGGAGGAAGGGGAGGGAGGGCAGTGCTTGGTTTCATTGTTCCAGCAGGAAGATTAGAAGATGAGAGAGAGGTGTCAGACTGGATTAGAGGCTTGTGCAGGGGCCAAGGTTCTTTCTTAAGTGGTTGGAATGGGGGCTTTGCCATCATCAAATAGTAATTACTGACAGGAGACACTTAACTGCCCAGCAGGCATTATGCCAAGTGCTCTTTAGAGTCCTTACAAGAACCATTTTACAGACTAGGCATAGGCATAAAGAGGGGACATCACTTGCAGAAGACCACACAGTCAGTAAGTGCTGCTAACCAAGTCTGTACGCTAGTGTCCTCCTCCATCATCACCGTTGCACCCTGCCCTTGTGGCCTTTGGAGCAGATTCACATTGTGAGCTCTAATCCTTGCCACAGCCACTTGGTCGTGTGGACTTTAGCAGTTCTGTGTGTTCTGTGTGTCTCAGTTTCCTCAACTGTGAAATGGAAACAGTAATCATCCCATTGCAGAGGGTAAATGAGGTCATGTATGTAAAGCTCTTAGCATGACGCATGGCACAACGTGATTGTTCAGCACATGGTAACTGTTCTGTGTAGCTGCAAAGTGGTAGACACTGGACTGCAGATCTCACTGTGACAAGGAAGGAGTTTTCCTTTTTTAATTTTTTTGTTTTGGTTTTAAAGAGGTTTTTGTTTTTGAGCTTGTACACTCACCAGAGAGAGAGACAGAGATAGTGAGAGGGAAAAGAAGAAATCACCCTTCCCCAGAGGGATGGCTATGCCGTGATCCCTTCTCCTCCATCCTTGTCCTGGGACCTAGGACATGCACGCACACATGCCTGGTGTGAGTTTCAAGCCACTGGGTCTGGGACTAGGATTGTGGTAGGCCATGTGGAAGTACAGTGACATCACCACTATGCCATCTATTGGCCCCTCCTTTGTTTTTATTTTAAAGGACTAGTTTATCTATAATAAAATCAGCTTCCTATGTAAACTTTAAGCTTCCTGTTCTAAGAAGTGTGCAAGTGCAGGCTAGAGGCCCACAGTAGGGGTGTTAGTAACTGGAAAGAGCACAGGCTCTAGTATGCAGTCTGTCTCTGGAGACCCATTTCCAGGCATGAACTTGAGCCATTCACAGGGCACTGGGAGCAAGCACTGCCCCTTCGCCCTGAGCAAGGCTTGGTTTCTCCACATGCAGGACCCAGCTCCCCACAGGGCTGACCTGGATAAGAGAGGAAGAAAGGGCAGATGGGAAGATGGGAGGGGAGTATAGGCCACGTACCTTCAGCCACTCCTCAGCCTGCTCCTGGCTCTGCAGTGCCAGCACCAAGACCTCAGTAGCTCCCTGGGAGAAGCGCAGCTCGTGCCTCTTATGCCGGCTGTCCTTAGGCACATAGGTGACATTGCAAACATCCAGTGCCAACCTCAGATGTGGCTGCCGGTCCTTGGAGCTTTTGTAACACTGGACAGGGAGAAAAGGGATCAGGACCTCCTGGAGTGGAGGATGGAGGATGGAGACACTCTCACACAAAGGTTCAGGGGACGCTCAACCTCCCCACTGAGCCCTCCCCACATGGCCCAACTATGGGCACTGTGTAAGGACAGCTGAACGGCCTCTTCACCCAGTAGAGAAGCCCGAGGGGGCAGAGAGTCATCCATGGGCAATCTTCAGGCACAACTACCTACTTAGGAAGAGGATGATTTTAGCACAATACTAGGAAGACCATTTTAGCTTAAAGAGCCAAAGAAGAAATGACCTGGCTTGGAAGGAAGTCAGTTTAAAGGGATACATGGCAGGAATTTGTGATACAATTCAGGCAGAAATGAAGAGTTGGGCTTGGGAAGTCAATAGTTTATCCATAGGATTCTCAATTCCCCACTTTCATTATAACACCATCATTACCTTGATACCAGACCTGGCTATGACATTACAAAAAGGAAAAACTGCAGGCTAATTTCTCTCATAACTCAGTTGCAAAAAGCTATAAACAAAATATTGGCAAATGGAATCCAGACACATATAAAAAGCATTCAACATCAAGACCACTTGGGGTTATTCTCTTGGGTCATTGGAAAAGTCATGATGTAGTTTTTTCTGTTTCTTTTTCATGCAAAAATGCATCATAACTTTTCTGACAACCTAATAGGAATGTAAGGATGGTTTAACATTCACAAATCAGCCATCTAATTCATCATATTAAGAGAAAATAAGAGAAAGTTCCCATATTTCAATAGAAGCAGAAACAAATTGATAAAATTCATCAACCATTTGTGATACAAACTCTTAGCAAACTAATAAGAGAGGGGAATGCCCTTAATGTGACAACAAGGAGCATCTGTGAGCAACCTTCAGCAAACATCGGCTTACATGATGGGTTTCTGAAAGCTTCCCTTTGAGACTTGACAAGAGAATGACGCAGCTCTCATGCTCCTACCTATATTGTTTTAGATGGGTCCAACTGCTGCAGCAAGTCAGGAAATACACAGAAGGCCTAAGGAGCTAGATGAGCTCGGTTGCCACCCATGGACTGAGAGCCTGGGATGAGCTTAGCAAGGTCAGGTTTCGAATGCATCTATGTTAAGCAAGGCTTGCCAGCAGGTTTTTTGGAGACAAGCTATTCTTTTTCTCTGAAATGATGTTTATCCTTTATTTTGGAATTAAAGGTGCGTTTTCTTTTATGAAATGATAGTGAAGACAGGAGACAAATAGTTTAAAAGCCTTTAAAAGGTTTCTTATATATTTATATAAGAAATGTATATTCATTCTTATATAAGAATGAGTGCTGTGGGGGCTCAGTTTTATTATAAAACAGATGTGTGGGAATATATGTATAGTGACTGTCTCTCCATCAGTGCACTTATGGGTTGGGTTTTTCTTTTTTCTTCTTCTTCTTTATTTTTATTTTCAAGTTTTTTAAAGGTTTTTGCCATAGGGTGCATTTGCTTGCTGGAGAGAGACAGAGAGAAAGTGAGAAATCACTCCTCAGAAGGGATGGCCACACCGTAATCTCTTTTCCTCTATTCTTCTCTCGAGATTTTGGACACACACATGTACGTGCCTGGTGTGATTTTTCAAGCTGCCGAGTTTGGGACTCAAACTGAAGTTGACCATGTGGGAATCTAACACCTCAAGCACCACTCAACTTGCTGACCCTGAGTGGGGTTTTTCTAAAATCACTTTTCATTACGTTTTCTCTGGTTTTATAAATAAGCTTACATACTTGTATAATGAAAAAAATATATACATTGTTTTAAAGTGACAAAAATGGCAACTTGATAGAGCCTCTATCAGGTCTTTGATATTGTGTATGTGTGTGCTTTAAACATTTCTGCTGGAGTGGGACCTCTGAAGCACCCAGCTTTGTGCTTCAGTGCACAGCTGAGCTGGGGTGCACACACCACATGCAAGTGGACACGTGGAGACACATACTCGCAAGTCCACATGAGGCCACTCACCAGGAGCTGGTCCTCTTTAATGACGGTCAGTTGCTTGGCCCACTGCCCGAAGCGCTTTTTCCGGAGCAGGAAGGCACAGATCCTGCAGTCCCTCACCAGGTGCATAGAGGCTTCCTCTGAGGGCCACTGGTGCCTGGGTTGTGGGCTTTTTCCTTCCTCCTCCTCTTCATCGTAGGACTCATAGGAGCTGCTCATTGCATCAGAATCATTGTCTGCAGGCACCACAGGAAAGGACCCATCACTGCACCATCCCCAGGGAAGCACCTCTCCTCCCTCTGCAGACATCCCTGTTCTGGGGCTCTGGGAGTAGGAAGGGGATAAAGCATGAGATGGTAATGATGAAAGCCCCTACATTTACACTGTGTTTTATATTTACCACTTGCCTTCTGATCTGGGTGACTTTACTTAGAGTGTCACTGTTACCAACAAGGTGGTCATTATAAATTACAGTACTACTTCATATGGCTATTTGCATGGGGCATGTTTAGCCAGGTGTCCGGCACCCAGTAAATGCTCAGTAAACTTCTGCTATTGATATTACCCCATCATCTTCACACCCATTGTCTCAGGTGATCCCCACAGCAATTAAACAAGTCTTCCTTATATAGAGAAGGGAACTTGGAGCTCAAAAAGAAGGAATGACTTACCTAAGATCAGTTACCAAGAGTCAGGGCAAGGGCTAGAGTTGGGACTCCTGACTCCCATTCCAGGGGTCTTTCCATTGAATTCTGGGGTCACCAAAAACAAGGGCTTTAGAGTCCCTTTGGTTGCTGTAGCCTGGGTCGGGGGCTGGTGGGTACATGCATGCCAGGGGCAGAAACAAATCCTGCTCTTTGTGAAAATGGAACCAGTCTGAACACCAGCTGGTACTTACAGGAGTTCTTCAGCTCCCCATTCATCCTGGTTGCAGGGTAGCTGCTATCTGCATCCTCATAGTAGCCATCCACAATTGAGTGGGCAGGACTGCAGCCATCTGTTGGGGGTGGGAGTCAGAAAGAGCTGGACTTTGAGAAATGCAGGAAGGCTCCAGGGGCTAGAGCTGGAGAAGACCTGGAGTTCCCTGAGAGGAAAGAGAGAGTGGGAGCTCCAGGCAGCTTCTGGCCAGTGTGCAGGACCCTGCTCTGTGGCTCATCTGCTCTAGCTCCACACATACACTGTGCTCTTGTCACCAGACACAGCCTGCTGGGCCCTGTCACACCTCCAGCCCTATGTTATGCTATTCTCTGTCCTTCTGATCTTTTTCTTTAGAGGGAGACTTTCGCTATAGGGCATGTGTGCTTACCAGAGAGACAGAGAGATAGAAAGCAAGAAATCACCCTAGGGAGGATGGCCATGCTGCAACCTGCTGTAGCCTGGGTCGGGGGCTGGTGGGTACATGCATGCCAGGGGCAGAAACAAATCCTGCTCTTTGTGAAAATGGAACCAGTCTGAACACCAGCTGGTACTTACAGGAGTTCTTCAGCTCCCCATTCATCCTGGTTGCAGGGTAGCTGCTATCTGCATCCTCATAGTAGCCATCCACAATTGAGTGGGCAGGACTGCAGCCATCTGTTGGGGGTGGGAGTCAGAAAGAGCTGGACTTTGAGAAATGCAGGAAGGCTCCAGGGGCTAGAGCTGGAGAAGACCTGGAGTTCCCTGAGAGGAAAGAGAGAGTGGGAGCTCCAGGCAGCTTCTGGCCAGTGTGCAGGACCCTGCTCTGTGGCTCATCTGCTCTAGCTCCACACATACACTGTGCTCTTGTCACCAGACACAGCCTACTGGGCCCTGTCACACCTCCAGCCCTATGTTATGCTATTCTCTGTCCTTCTGATCTTTTTCTTTAGAGGGAGACTTTCGCTATAGGGCATGTGTGCTTACCAGAGAGACAGAGAGATAGAAAGCAAGAAATCACCCTAGGGAGGATGGCCATGCTGCAACCCCTTCTCCTCCACTCTCCTCTTGAGATTTTGGGCACGCATGCACACATGTCTGGTGTAAGTTTAAGCCACCAGGTCTGGGACTTGAACATCAGTTGACTATGTGGGAGCCCAGTGATGTAATTTCTATATGATCTGCTGGTCCCTGCCCTCCTTATCTTTAACCAGAGATCTCTTATTCATCTGCTAAGACCCAGCTCAAAGACCTTTCCTCTGACCTTCCCAGGCAGGAAGTGTGGGCCAGAGGTTTGGGTATTGACTTCCCTCCCTGCATAGGCATCACTTCATTTTCTTCTTCCTCAGCCCTCCTGCTCACTTTCTAATACATTGCCTTCTGGTTGTCAAAACAATTCTCCTTCTAAACCTCTGGGGCTACAAAGGAACGGACTAGAAGAGATAATAATAATACACGTAATAGTGACCATGCCGGCCACCAGGCTGGATTTCCACAACATAGTGCCATTTGGGGCTGGAGGCAGGACAGTACTGCACAGGGGTGATGGGGCATCTCACACTCTATTCTACATTGGAAACTCCTGGAGATCGCTTACAAATACAGATCCTCAGAGATTCTGATTCACTGGTGTGGGTTGGGCTGAGAAATCTACATTAAAAAAAAAAAGCTAATAGAACTCTAAACATACATAAAACCAGAAAATATACTGATAACTTGAATGAATTAGAACAAATTTATTCAGCATTTATTATTATTATTACATGTGCTAATCAGAAAGAGACAGAGAGGGAGAGGGAGAGAGAAAGGGAGAGAGAGAGGGAGGGAGAGAGAGAGAGAGAGAAAGATAGGGAGGGAAAGTAAGAAAGCACTCCTCATGGGGTGTGGTCATGCTGCCATCCCTTGTCCTCCACTTTTCCCTCCTCCTCCACTTCTCTCTCCTGTCAGGATTTTGTGCACATGTGCACATATGCCTGGCATGTTGTTCCCAAGCTGCTGGGTCTGGGACTTGAGTTGCACAATTGGTCATGATCCAGTTCATGTAGCTACCCGGCCATGATCTGGGCCTACTATTATTATTTTTAAATAAGGCCAGTTGATGCATATAGTACTTAAAGCACCCTTTGAGGTTCACTTGGTTAGGGCATATATTTTGAGCTTGATCAGAGTTGAATTCAAATCCTATCTTTACCATTTACTGAGTGACCTTAAAGAGAATACAGTTTCTTCACATTGTAGATTCTTCCCTTGTGAACAGTTCCTGCCTTGACTTAGTGATATAAACATGTAAACTCAGCACCAAACCTGGCACATAGGATATGCTAGACAAATACCAGCTATCATTATTATTCATAGATGAGGAAACAAGCTACACACAGTTTTCTAGTGACAAGCCTGGAACTGAATTCCGGTCACCAGCTCAGGGGATGGCTACACATGCCCTTCTCCAGGAAGCCTTCCTTCATCTTGGCTACCTCACTCTCACACTTGGCTGTTCGTCAGAGCTGTGCCGTGGACTCCTACCACCTCCTGTCCATCTGTTTCCTGAGGACAGCAGCACTGACATTTCTAGCAACTTTGATACCCAGTTCTATCTCTCTTGTGAAGCTCCGAGCCAACCTTTCCCAGCAGGCATTCTGAGGCCCCAGGTGCTGGCCACACCTCTGTAAAGTGGACCAGGGTTGCCAGGGCTAGAGGTGTAGGTGCAGGGGAGCGGGGGGGAGGTATGATGGGAGAGATGGAAGGGGCATGGGACCAAGTGCCTGGACATCTGGCAAGGCTGGAGGCAGTGTGTGAGAGGAAGGATACTCCCTGGTGGGCTTGGAGTGCTCTCCCTGGACAAAGGCCCAGGCCCTTCCTGAGGCCCTCCCTTTCCTTCTGCCACAGGATCCCAGCTGCTCTGGGGAGATGGCTTCTCTGCTCTGTTTGAGGGGAAGGGAGCTCTTTGGGAAGGTGGAGGAGCCTTATCCAGTAGAGGAGCCTGACCTGGGGTTTGGGACCCAACAGTACTTTGTCCCCTGTCTTTGAATGGATAAAATAAAGTTTCCAGCATTATATCCAAATAGCTGTCGAGACTATGAAGGCTGATCACCAGGTCAAACCTCACCATAAGCAAATGATAAAAACAACCCAAATCAGCTGATGAATGGGTAAATCCAACTGGTATAGCTATACAATGTACTATCACTTGGTCATTCAAAGAATGAAGTTCTGATCCAGGCTAGAACATGGATGAACGTTGAAAACATTATGCTAAGTAAAAGAAGCCAGTCACAAAAGGCCACATGCTATATGGTTCCATTTATATGAAACACCTGGAAGAGGCAAATCCATAGAGATGGAAAGGAGATTGGTGGTTGGCAGGCACTAGGGGTGGGAGAATGGGAAGTGACCGCTTTAATAGGGTGGATTTTATTTTGGGGTGATGGAGAAGTTTGGGAACAAGATAGTGGTCATGGCTGCACAACACTGTAATGTACTAAATGTCACTGGCTGGACAACCTAACCTGGCAGAAATGGTCAGTCTTAAGTATATTTTATCACTGTAAATATATATTCACCCTTCGTAGAAAGCACAAGCAGTTCAAAAGAATGTGACTAGAAAGATATATTCCCTTTACCCAGATTTCCATTTATTTCCCACAGTAAAATCCTGTTAATATTTTCTTGCATATTCTATAAAATTGTTAAAATGAAGGCATATGTGTGAGTGTGAGTGTGTGTGTGTGTGTGTGTGTGTGTGTGTGTGTGTGTATGCCCTGTTTGAAAAACATACAAATGGAATCATGTTATGTGCAACATTCTGTATCTGACTTTTTTTTTTTTTAGGTTGTGAGAGGATGCACAAACTCATCAGAGAGAGACAGAGAGGCAGAGGTAAAAGGAGAGGGAGCTGAGATGGCTACAGAACTCGAGTGGTGAAATATTGCTTTCAGGAACTAAAAATGAAGATATTCTGCGGAGACTTCTTCCTCCAGATTCATTTTTAGTGGGAAAGGCACAAACCCAGGCCCATCCTAAGATGGCTACTGAAACTGAGCTGTGAAATATTGCTTTCAGGGACTAAAGATGAAGATACTCTGCTAAGACTTCTCCCTCCAGATTCATTTCTAGTGAACAGGGCTGCCATCTTTCTGTCTCTCTCTGTCTCTCGGCCTCCGTGTCTTTTTTTTTTTTTTTCATGTTTTTTAAAGGTAAACTATTCTCTGGGTTCAAGCCCCTCCATTATTATAATAATTTATGCCTTTTCCCCTTCCATTTAGGAAAGGCACAAATCCAGACCCATCTTGAGATGGCTATTAAACTTGAGCTGTGAAATATTGCTTTTTTTTTTTATTTTAAGGATTTTGCTATAGGGCGCGTGTGCTCACCAGACAGACAGAGACAGAGAGACAGAAAGCGAGAAATCCCACGCCGCAATCTCTTCTCCTCCATTCTCCTCTCGGGATCTTGGGCATGCATGCACACGGGCCTGGCGTGAGTTTTAAGCCACCGGGTCCAGGACACGAACCACGGTCGACTTCGTGGGAGTCCAGCAACATAGCCATTACACTAACTGCTGGTCCCTGAAATATTGCTTTTTTTGACTTTTAAATTTTTTATTCTTTTCGTTTTAAAATTAAAATATAAAACTTGTTTATTGACTTTTCTTTCTTTCTTTCTCTCTCTCTCTCTCCCTTTCTTTCTTCCTTCCTTCCTTCCTTCTTCTTTCCTCTTCTCTAATTCTTTTTCTTTAACTTCATTCCTTGGCTGCTCAGCCTCCATGCACTGAGTGTCTAGACAGGTCAAAGTGAACAGTATCCAAACCTCTGAATACAATTAGGGTCAGACTATTCCTCAGTTCCCACTGAATCTGACACACAAAGAGTGAAAAATGGAACGGAAGAGAGATTGCAGATCACCTCCTCCTGCACACCTCTGAACGCTCAGATTGAGCTTCAAGATTTAGGAAGACATGCACAATCCATCAGATGACCAGAAATCACTGCAGGGTCACAAGAAATATGAGAAAGCAAGAAAATACTTCTTCTCCAAGGGAAAAGAACAACTCTTCTTTATCCTCATACAGTACAATGGAACTCAAGGAAATGTCAGATAAAGAATTTAGAATATTCATAGTGACAAAGCTAACAGAGATGGAAGAGAAGAGAGACGATGAACTGTAGAAGAGGCAGGAGAAAGGAGCTGATGAGTTCCAGGAGATGAGGAAGTTCTTGCAAGATCTGAAAGAGGAAATATACACCATAAAAAAGAATCAGATGAAACTTTAGAGATGAAGGCTATAATACAGGAAGTCAAAACATCCCTTGAAAGTATTAAAAACAGACTAGGTCATACAGAAAATCGAATCTCAGACGTAGAAGATAGAATCACTGGCCTAGAAAAGTCCACCATGAAGACTGAGGAAACTGTCTCCCCAAAATGAGAATAATATACAAAAAATACTAGACACCATCAAACATCCAAACACCCAGATAATTGGTATCCCAGAAAGCGGAGACTAATAAAGGCATTGATAATCTATTCCATGAAATCCTGGAAGAAAACTTTCCAAACCTAGAGAGGCATCCAAAGATCCAGACCCAAGAAATACAAAGGACCCCAAATAGAATCAACCCAAGAATATCTCCAAGACACATTATAGCAGATTGACCAAAACCACAGACAAAGACAAGATACTAAGACTGGCGAGAGAAAAACATCAAGTTACCTACAAAGAATATCCCATCAGGCTCACAGTGGACTCTCATGGGAAACAATGAGAGTAAGGAAAGAATGGGAAAATATATTCAAAGTGTTAAGGGAAAAACAATATCAACCAAGAATACCGTACCCGGCAAGATTATCCTTCATATGGGAAGAAAAGACAAGGACATTCTCAGATAAACAAAACCTGAAAGAATTTACCAACACCAGACCAGCTCTCCAAGAAGTTCTGAAGGGACTGCTATACAGGAGAACTAAATACAGACACACAGAAATAAGAGTTCAAAAACAACTAAGAAAATGGCCAACTTAATGGTAAGGAACTGACGAGTTCCAGGAGGTGAGGACATTCTTGCAAGATTTGAAAGAGGAAATATACACCATAAAAAAGAATCAGATGGAACTATTAGAGATGAAGGCTATAATACAGGAGGTCAAAACCTCCCTTGAGAGTATTAAAAGTCTGGAGTTGAATATTATATCCCAGAATTTAATCTGGAAGATCAGACCACAACAGAAGATGGAATAAGTATATGAGAATGAACAGGTGAAATAGAATCTTATGACTTTTGACTAAAACATTACTGATTTTTTGTTTTCCGGATTTAAGGATTTTTGTCTTATCTTGAGCTGCTGATAGGTTCGTGTACCTACTATTTGAACAGAATCATAACCTGTTTCCTGGCTTTAAGTTTTAAGCAAAGCGCTTTTAGCATTTCTTTGATTTTGATTTATTAAAGTTAAAACTTCTTTTCTTGAAATTAAAAATATATTAAAAATATTTGTTTAATGACTGCAGTAAGCTATATAGTATTAGCTAGGTGCTACTTTATAGTACATTCATTCTACTCAGAGTTTCATGCCTAAAGTCAGACATGTATTCACAGATATGTATATTATCAGCTGACCTTGCTATTGAAAGTAGGTTATTTAAGATATTTTGTGAATCAATAAAATATGGGGGGAAAAAGAATGAAAAGGAACTGTAGAAACCAGAGATATTGTGGGAGGAGAGTGGAAAATGGTAGAGGGTGAGAAATAGGGGGAAAATATATATGAAACTAGAAATAAAAAATTATCAACAATAACATGTTTGATTAAGCTACTATGCAGTATATTCTGGATGGGAAATCACATTTTGTATGTCGTGACTATACTCTGTGAAAAATTAAATAATTAAAAATTTAAAAAATTAAAAAAAAAATAAAGAAAAGGAGAGGGAGAAAGTACCCTTCCCTTCCCCAGTGGGGCATGGTCTTGAAATTCCTTCTCTGCCATTTTTCATTTTGGGATTTTGAGCATGCTTGGTGTGTTTTTCAAGCTGCTGGGTCTAAGGTTTGAGCCAAATGGTCAGTCATGTGGGATCTGGTTCCTTTAACAACCAGGCCATGGGCTGGCTTTGTATTTATTTTGTTAGTGTTTTACATTTGGCATAGAGCACCTATGCTTGCTGGAGACAGAAAGAGAGAGAGAGAGAGAATATGAATGAACCTCTGGGGGGATGACAATGCCACAATCCCTTCATATTCTTCTCTTGGGATTTTGGACACATATACATGCGTCCTACATGATTTCTAAGCCTCTGTGTCTGGGACTCGGAACTGCATATATCAGCCATGTGGGATCTAGTCCCGTTAACCACCACATCACCTGTCTGGCCCTGTGTTTGACTTTTTAAATGGCTATATGTAGGAATTAACTTCTAATCAGCACAGATCTATTTTTAGGCAGTTGGAGAATATTCCATGGTGCTACTGAATGACAGAGTAGCATCACACAAACATTATTTTATACAAATTCAACTACGCATGCTGAGTCATCCAAACACCACAATACAGTTTCTTGAGAGTAACCATTAAGTCCCCATACCCAAGCAGGTGTTCTCATCTGATCTTTGAAGAAACAGTTGTGTTGTGGTGTTGTGAAAACTGATGAAAAGATTAAGGATTCCCTTTGTGGTCTATTTAAGAGATTTTCAAAAGTAATTTGTACCAGTAAATAATTTTATTGTGGTCACCTATCAGTAATAATATATATATATATATAATATTTATTTATATAAAAATTCTCTCTATATAAAAACTATTTACAAGCATTATGCTATTATTAGGTTATATTGGGTTGTCTGAAATATCATTATGTATTTTTGCATAGAAAAACAGAAAAATATGTCATGACTTTTCCAATGACCCACTAAATACTACAAAACACTCATAGAATTTTTTTATTTTATTATTTTTTTTGAGAGGTTTTTGCTACAGGGTGCATGCGCTCGCCAGAAAGAGAGAGACAGACAGAAATTGAGAAATCATCCCCCAGCAGGGATGGTCACGCTACAATCCCTTCTCCTCCATTCTCCTCTCAGGATCTTAGAGACACACATGCACACGCGCCCAGTGTGAGTTTAAGCCACCAGGTCCAGGACTCGACCTGCGGTTGGCTACATGGGAGTCCAGCGACATAACCATTACGCTAACTGCTGGTGTCCAATACTCGTAGAATTTTTAAAAAGATGTGTTGAGCTAAATGTAAATGAAGCTTCTAATATTTCTGCCTGTATCATCTGATGGGGTGCCCATACTATACTCTGAGACCTCTGGTTTAGACCTCTGGTGCTTCTTGATCTTGCGTGTTGACATTGTAACCTAATCCACCTGAAATATGTGATTCTGCTGAAATACAAACCATCTCACCATCCACCAGAGAGGGGCTCTAGGTTAGTAGCACTTGTAGTGCTTGGGACAGTGTGGTGAGACCACTGTGTACCTAGAGCATCTTCATGAGTGCATCTAGCTCCTTTTGTTTTAAGCATAGAGGAACAGAGATCCAGAGAGGGGAAGGGGGCTATACAAGGCCACACAGAACTGGGAATAGAACCCAGGCCTTGTCCAATTGTGCACCAAGGCTATCACTGAAGAGGCCAGGTGCTCAGGGCAGCTCCTTCTGAGCAAGTGGTGGCAAGGTTGGCCAAGTGCCAGGCTTGGAGCTCCTGCTGCAGCAGGAAGGAAGGAGCTCTGGATTGACCTCTTGGAGGAGAAGCACCTAGCCCCTCAAGGGGATCAGAACTTACTGTGGGAGCTGATGTACTCAGGGGACTTGCCGGGTCCCAGAGGAAGGGCCTCTTCATAGTAGTCCTCGGGTGGAGGCTTGATAGGAAGTGGCGGGGGCAGGTCAGCTGCCTGCAGGGGCACAAAGAAGGCATTGATACCAAAAAGGTTAAGAGTGCAGAGCAGGGGGAAGACGGGGTGAGGGCTGCAGCTCCTAGAAGGCTGGAGGCAATCAAATATGAACCCATAACTTTCATTTTAATTTGCTAGAGAGTGTGTGTGCTCACTAGATAGAGACAGAGAGAGAGAGAGACAGAGAGAGAGAGAAAGAGAGGAAGCACCTCACATGGGGCATGGTCATGCTGCAATACCTTCTCCTTCCTCTCTCTTTCCCATGGGATTTTGAGCATGCACACCCATCTGGCATATTATTCCAGCCACCAAGTTCAGGTCTCAAACTGTCCAGTAGGCCATGTGGGATCCAGTGTCTTAACCACCTCCATAACTTTTTTTTTTTGAGAGTTTTTTTGCTATAGGGCGTATGTGCTCCCCAGACAGAGAGAGACAGAGAGATAGAAAGTGAGAAATCACCCCCTAGGGGGGTGGCCACGCTGCAATCCCTTCTCCTCCATTCTCCTCTTGGGATTTTGGGTACACACGCACATGCGCCCGGTGTGAGTTTAAGCCACCGGGTCCAGGACTCGAACCGCGGTCAACTACAAGGGAGTCCAGCGACATAGCCATTTTGCTAACTGCTGGTCCCATTCATAACTTTTAATACTGTCACAGAGCCAGCAAAACTTCAGAGTGTATCTTCTTGTGCTTATTACCCCGATTTTTAAATAATCAGTGTTCCTCTCAAATGACTAAAAGTTTGTGGACTGCCAAGCCGTAGTAATTATGCTTTTGACTGAGCACATGCAGAATTATCAAAAACTCCTGTGCCTTCTACAATACTCTGTAGCCATACCTACATACATGAGAAGCAGTAAGATAAGTAAGCGGGAGACATAAGAGGGAACTCCAAAATTTTGTGGAATTAAAGAATAAGTTTATTTTGGTGTCTCAAAGTTTTGAAATCCATGAATAGTATTTCCATAGTGCATATTTCTCATGAGCTTTTGAAGAACACTTTTTATTTAGCAAGGCGGTATCTTCCAACAACTAAACTTAGGCTCTGGCGCTACACAACTGTGTTTCTATCACTTACTAGTTGTGGGGCATTGAGCACATGACTTATTGTCTCTGAGCCTCAATTTCCTTATCTATAAAATGGGGTAACAATCTTGTCGACCTGTAGTTGCTATCAGCATGTGAAGGGCATAATAAGTTGTCAGTAAGTGGCCCCCTGATGAGATGGTGATAATGAATTGTGGGACAGGCAATGCTTGTTGTGAACTGAGTTCCTTTGCTACATGGCTCCAAGTTTGGGAAGCCTGGATCTAGTCTAGTTCTTCATTTTGTAGGTGAGAAACTCAGGCTCAGAGAAGAGAAGTGATTTACTCAAGGCCACAAAGCAGAGCAGTGGGGAAGGCAGAGGATACTCAGCTCTTGGTCTGGAGCTCTCCCCATCACCCTGTCTGTGTAAGGTACTGAGAAGTTAGTAGTGATGTCCTTTGGGCCCGAGGGGACAGATGAGTTCACCTTTTGCCCCCAGCTCAGCATGGACATAATGAGCACCTCATGGGGCTCTGAAATGGTCACAGTGCTGCTCTGTTCTTAGCCACCACCCAGGAGAGAGAGCAGAGTCCTGCACAGTCAGGAGGGACCCCAGTATTAGGGGAGAGCTTCCCCCACCCCCTTACTCCCCAAGCCACTACTCATGACTCACGATTCTCAGAGATGGGCTCTTGGCTGGCTCGGGGCTGGCCACCTTGCTGGGCTCCCCATCATCCTCAGGCATGTCCCGAAGGTCCCTCAGGTCACAGTCTGCAGAGGGCCAGGCCATTGGGCAGAGAAAGTCAAGGATAAGCATGACAGTGGGGAGAGGGCTGGGGTGGGACCAGGAGGCCTGCAAGGTCGAGCTCTTCCCTCTCCATGCTCAGCCCTGGGATACTTCATCTGTAAACTGGCCGCAATAAGCCCTGCTTTGTCTGCCTTTGAAGGCAGAGAGGATCATGTTAGATACTCTTTGTTATGGTGCTTGGGACACTTATAAGAGTTATACAATAAAGGAGCAGCATCTTCCCTAAGTCCACCAGTCTCTAGCACTCTCTGACCTGGACTGGAGCTTTCTCCATGTGTCGAGTAGAGCTGCTTCCCTCAGATCAGGGATGGCAAATACCCTGCTCACACTCCAGTTCCCTGGCTCCCTCATGGCAGCCACTGACATTCCACCATGGTTCATTTTCTGCCGAGCTGCTGGACTGCCCTACCCAGTGTCCCAGGTGGCTACTACCAGGGGATGGGAGCAGCAGTGAGGTAATGCTCTGCTCTGCTGAGGCCTCTGTGGCCTGCACTTTCATCCCCACCATTGTTTGTATCTCTGGGATATTTCCGTAGCCTTGCAGATTTTGATTAGACCTTTGGGGCTGGCAGGGCCCAGAGAGGCCAGGGGACTTGACTCAATGATGCAAAGTTAGCCAGGCCCAGCCCAGCCTGGGGACTCTTCTGCACATATGGAGAGAGAGTCACTTACCAAATTCTTCAAAGAGGGACTCTACGAAGCTGGGCCCAGAGTGGAGGTCCGCCGTGTTCACATACAGGTAGGAGACTTCTTTTGCTGACGGAGAAAGAAGACCTGCCAGCAGTAAGGAAGCCTGGGACCAGGGCCTCCCACTCTACCCCAGCCTTCTTGACCTCTACCCCACAGGGGACATAGCACTCAGCTTGTGAAGCATGTTCCCCTCAGTTACTTTACTGATTTTCAAACTTTGCTTTCATTTTTACAGCATTACACTGAGCAACTCTTTCTTCAACAGAAAGGATGCCATAAGCCTAGCAAAACAGTACAAGGGCTGGACTGGGGACAGCCAGGGGCAAAGGCACAGCTGGAAGATCAATGCCCCTTTCATGCTCCCAACAATCCTGGGAGGCAGCAAGTGACATCAGCTGTGTTTTGTCACTGGGAAGTGAGGCTCAGAGTCACCTAGTGGAGCCTTCTCCCTCCCTATTCCTCTGACTCCTAGGACACTGCAGGACATGGGTAAAGCTCTCAGAGTCTACTGAGCATGTGTCATCTCTCCAGCTGACGTGGGGTGCAGAGAAAAGCATGGGGTGGGTGGGGTGGAGAGACTTTGCTTCTGAACAGACAGTGAAGGGCAGAGATGTGGGATTCGGGGGTGGGTCCTGAACAAAGATGTAGGAAGGGGTACTACTCTTAAAGATGCATGTGTGTCTGTATGTGTAGGAGTGTGTGATGTGGTTATGTGTGTGTGGTGAGTGGGGAATGTCAGAGGGCGTGAGTATTCTGTGTGCTATGTGTGTGAGGTAAGTGGGTATGCATGTGCATTGTGTGCCATGTGTGGTGGCTGTTTGCTGGGGGTATGTTGTGTGTGGGCGTGCGAGTGCATGTGTTCTGTGTGTGAGAGTCTACAGAGGCAGGACTGGGATGGAGGAGGGCCTGAGTGGACAAGGCCACTGGGTGAGAGCACACCACACATTGGTCACCATGCTGCAAAGCTGAGACCTTCTCTTGTGCAGGCCCTGGGGAGTTACTGGATGTTCCTGGGGAGGGTGAGAAAGGCTTTGCTATGCCTGGAGGCCTTTGGGCAGGCTGTGGAGGGCTGACCTGGGAGGGGCTGCAGGCTCTGCAGGATGGAGGCTATAGCCATCTTCTTCTCCAGGGTGGTGTCACTGAGGTACTCGTGGTCCAACAGGCTGAGCAGTTCAGTAAGCTCTGGGAGCAGCTGCTCCAACACTGGGAAGAAGGCCGACAAGCACGGTCATTGCTCTGCATCCAGGACTCTGCCTGCCTCTACTTACTAGAGACCAGGACAGCATGGGCCAGAGGTCAGGGCCAATGCAACAGCAGATGCAGGGGTTCTCAGACAGCTGTTCCAGTGCTGGCTACCCCGCTTCCCTTGGGAAGGCTCTGTGCAGTTAACCCTGTGACATTCCTCTGGGCTCCCCCGCTCTGCCTCAGACCCCAGATGGCCTTGCCTGAGGACTGGACCTCTTCCCCTGTTCCTCCCACTGCCCTGCAACTCTAGGCCCAGGCAGCTAGTAGCAGAGGTGCTCAGGTCTCCTTTTGTCCCAGCTTTACAGACCCATGGGTCCTTCCTCCCTATAGCTCCAAGCTCAGTGAAGGTCCCAGGCTAGAGCCCTGGCCATCCCGGACACAGGCAGGAAGGGAGCCTTCCTGTCCCATCAGTTCATACACTTCAATCTCTAGAACCTTCTGTTTCCGGTGCTTTGGCCAGAGCCAAACTAAACATTAACCCTCCCCACCCCATGCCTTAAACTGTCATTGTCATTCTTTTCATGCTACACCAGGTCCTTTGCAAACTTGAGTGTGGATAAGAATTACCCTGGGATCTTATTAAAATGTAGATTCTGATTCATGAGATGGAGGGTGGACCCGAGATTCTGCATTTCTGACAAACTCGTTGCTGGTCCTAGACTACACTGAGTTGCAAGATCTTGAGTATAGAGTCCTTTAAAGACTGAAGCATGCCAAAACTGTGATGTCACTGATGTCTCCGTGTCCTAAAGAACAACTTGGGGCTTGGTTTGCCTCAGAGCCGAAGAGCAGCTTCATCACAGTAGTCGTTCTGTCCTGCTCTGCCACTCACCAAATACTTGGGCACGATAATAAAGGCTAACCAGCGTTGAACAATTAGTATGTCTGTGCTAGGCCCTTTTACGTTGTATTGTCTCATTCAAACCTCATTGCAAGCATTCTACTACCTCCATTATGGGGAGGCTGAAGCCAAGGCTTAGGGAGAGCCTTCTTCGCTTGTCCAGGATCACGTAGCTAGGGGAGCCTTGACTGAATCTGCTTTCCTTGTGGTCCTCTTTAACCACGGAGCTATTGTATATCCCCCTGTGGTTGTACTAAATGTGATCCTACCAGCAAGTTGTGAGGTAGGGTCCAAGATCACTCCTACTTTTTAGACAAAGAGACTAAGACTCAGAGAAGATAAGTAACTTGTATGAAGTTACACAGAAGCAAGGAGGAGAGCCAGGACCTCTAAAACTCCATTGCCTCTCCCTCTAAATGTGTAAGGGGGGCTGGGACATTACACATCAGAGAATGGCCCTGCAGTCAGGTTGTCTGGGTCCAAGGTCAGGCTCCACCATTCATTAGCTATGGGACCTTTGGCACATTTATTTTACCTGTTGGTGACTCAGTTTCCTCCATGCGAAGGGAAACAATCAGAGTGGCTGCGTCATGGGTTTGCTGTGAGGATTAGTTATAGCAGGCATGAAAAGTACCTTGCCTGGCATAATCAGCGCTTGCTGGGAGTCAGTGGTCCTTACTGTCATTGTGGAATTTGTCATCCTAGCCTGCCAGTTCTGGGGTGCTCTGACTCCATCTGTGAGCTGGGAGGCTCTGGAAGGTGTGACTGGGCTCTGAGTCTCTGGGTTCGTACATCCAGCCTGTTCAGTGCGTGGGGGAATGAACAGATGCTCATACTAGCACCTGCTTTTAAATAGAAATCTTACGGCATTGTTGGAGAAATGTGTGCTGCAGCCTCTCTGGGGCAATCCATGAGCTGTCAAACTTGTTGAAAATGAGCTGAAGGCTGAGAACGGACAGTGCCCTCTCATGAGTGCTCTACTGCAGGGCACCGAGGGTGGAGCTTTCTGGGCAGTTTCTCATTTTTAACCCCCACAGCACATCTGTGAGAAGGTCCTATCAACATACCCATTTCCCAGAGATGATGCTGAGACTGAAGGGTGCTAGGGGACAGTTGCAAAGCTTGAAAGAAGTAGAGCCAAGCTGATTCCCAGTCCGAGATTCCTAAAGCTGCTAGTCACACACCTCGGGGATAGAGGGTGCTGCTCACCTTGGAGCCTGGGAGAAAGGTGCCTGTGACCCTGCTGCCTCCAGGGTGACTCTGCTGCCTCCAGGGCCCGAGTCACTGCAGTGTCACAGAAACAAATGGTCTGGATGGGGAGGCTTCTTCTTCAAAGCAGCAAATAATTTTAAAAAGTATTCTTTCATGAACAAGTGAGATTGCAAGGGAGGTGGTGAGAGAGAGAGAAAGAGAGAGAGAGAGAGAGAATCTCCAACAGCGTCTTGATACCATGATCCAACCCAAACCTCATCCAGCCTGGATTACGGGCATGTGCATGCCTGATGTACTCAGGGAGGTCTCTGGACGAGAACCTGAAACCCTCCCATGTGGGTTGGCTTCACAGAGCAATGTGTTTTCCTGCTGTGCCACTGTCCAGCCCCATTTAAAATCATCTTAGCCAAACTACCTATTGGGTTGTTGGAAAAGTCATGCTTTTTTTTTCTTTCTGTTTTTCTATGCAAAACTGGGTCATGACTTTTCTGACAACCCAATATTTTGAAAGGAAGTCTTTTCAAACGGAACCACAAACCTCTCTGGCATCCTCACAGACATCCCAAATGTCAGTTAACTCAATTTCAAAACATTTACCGAGCACTAATTATGTGTCAGGCTGGCCCCTTGGGGGATTAGGAAAAAACAAGTAAGATATTATCCCACTGGATGTTCTCTCCCTCCCTCTCTCTCTTAGGCTCTCTCGTTTTCTCATATACACACACATGCATGCTTTCATGTAATTGCTCCCAAGGGAGGTTGTGATAAGCGCAATACGGCACTGCTGGCAGCGTGACAGTGCCTGGGACCTGCAGCCACGACTCTTGTTCGGACACCCTGACACTGCTCTGCTCCCACACAAAACAGCAGGGACGGGGCGTGTACTAGGGGTTCATCTCTGTACCAGGAGCTCTCAGGGTCCTTTTATAATTTTACCAACTACTGAGCGCCTGAAAGAACTTTTGTTTTCTGTGGATTGTGTTTATCAAACTTTACTGTATTAACAAAACTGAGAAATTCTTAAAACGTAAGAACACACAGAAATATATCCACCAGCCTTCAGAGCTACCACACCATCACATGCTGCCCCTAGAGAACTCCACTGTAGCCTCGTGGAGGATGAGAGTGAGAAGGCATATAGCATTTAGCACTACATAAAAGTAGTTTTTTTTTTTTTTCATTTTTTTTTTTAGAGGTTTTCGCTATAGGGCACGTGCGCTCGCCAGACAGACAGAGAGAGACATAGAGACAGAAAGCGAGAAATCACCCCCCAGGGGGGATGGTCACGCCGCAATCCCTTCTTCTCCATTCTCCTCTTGGGATCTTGGGCACGCACGCACATGCGCCCGGCGTGAGTTTTAAGCCACTGGGTCCGGGACGCGAACCACGGTCGACTACGTGGGAGTCCAGCGACATAGCCATTACGCTAACTGCTGGTTCCCAACATAAAAGTAGTTTTGATCTAATAGACCCCTTGGTGTCCCCCATCTCCAATCACACCTCGAGAACTGTTGCCCTGCACTGAGTGACTGCAGATTTACTAAGCTTTTTGGGTTGCATAAGTCTGTTTCTTTTCTTACTCTTTACCTCCCACTCATGTCTCTTTAATTCTCCGTTCTTTTCTCTTCTCTCCTCCCTCCTTTTCTCTCTCCTTTCCTTTGTTTCTTTCTTCCCTTTGCCTCTCTCCTACTTTTTGCTGTGAGGTTCCCATTGATTTCTTCTTCAGCTTTCAGCAAATGCCTACGTAGAGCAGCATTGGAGCTTCTCAGTGCTATACTGCTTCTAATCTAAGGATTGTTGCAGTTGTATTTAAAGTAAGAACAATTAGGTTCTGAGTGGGTTCTCTGCATCTGAAAACATGAGCTTTATTACCTAAGCTTTGTAATACCATTTTCTGTTTCCCTCCTGGTCTTTGATGTAATTTTTAACATGGGACCTTGACTTCTAAGTGCTTTCCGCTTCACTGAGACATTGATCACCAAGGTCCAAATAGACCCAAGGGGGGAAGGAAGGGACTAGTGGCTCTGGGAGAAGCAGATGGGGAGTGAAAGGCTGCCAGTCCTGGTGATGATTTTCAAGGAACTGGCTGGCAGCAGGGGGCAGAGGGAATGGGGCAGAGCTAAGTTTGCACTGCAAGTACAAGGTCATTCCCTAGAGTTGAGCAGTCAATACATTATTTCATTTAACCTCCATTGTCCTACAAAGGAGGAAATGGAGGCTGAGAGAAGTGACGAAGTTACTTAGCCAGGTAACAAGGACAGGCCTTGACTCAGGACTGTCTGACTATAAAGCATTTGAATCCCTTTGCCTGAATCCTTCATAGGAAGTCTTAAGCACAGTGTAGTGAAGGTCAGGAGGCCAGGCTTGGGTAGGGGAGGTAGGCTTTTTCTCAAAGTCTTCCAGCTGAGGGCTCTAAGCCATGACTTCATCCAGGCCCCTGACCTGGAAACCCCTTCCCCTGTGGGTGGGAGACCCTTAGAGTGGGGCTAAAATTCCTACTCATTGGCCTTCTCCCTACTGGGTCTCTTTGAACTTCAGAGCCCAAAGCAAATACCTGACTTAACAGCAGGATCTCACCCTAGAGAGAACTGTATATAACATCATGGATACAGGAAACCTTTCAGCCAGCACTGAGCTCTTCCAGAATAATATAGAGGTCACTGGAGAAGCTAGCTTTCAAGCACAGTGAGTATAGAAGTATTTTCAATGACAGCTTCATCTCCCCACCCCCCCAATTTTGCTATAGGGCACATGTGGTCACAGGAGAGAGACAGCACAAAAGAGAAAAATTGAGAAGTCACTGCCCAGGGGAGATGGCTACATTGCAACCCCTTCTCTGTTCTTCTCTTGGGATTTTGAGCATACACATACATATACACCTAGTGTGTTTTTCAAATCACCAGGT